GTTTTGGGTTAGCTAATATTTGCTTTTACAGTTTCTTCTTTGTATAAATAACTCACTGAATGTTCTACTGTTTAGTTTTAGAAATCAGAAATTAAAAGTTTACGATCTTCATAACTTTACTCTTTCAGTTTTCTTTCATCGTTTCCACTTGGTATCAGAGCCGACGACAAGCGTCAAATGGCTACGATTCCTCCAGATAATCAAACCAAAAACATGGAGAAAGTTCTTCATAGCTCAGCTCATCCTCAGTTCTCAGTGTTTCCGTCAAATCTGCAAGTCGTTAGCCCTAAATTAACAAGAGATAGCTATTCAGACAATTATAGGTTCTGGAGATCTCAAGTTTTGTTTGCGGCGGGAGCACATGAGCTTGAAGAACATTTAATAGGTTCAATTCCATGTCCTCCTCCTTTTATCCTTACTGATCATAAATGTTCAATTGAGCTAAGTTATAGAACATCAGCTAAAAACCTAGCTAAAGAAACAATAAATCCGGCTTATGTATCTTGGAAAAGAACTGATAAACTACTTGTCACTTGGCTTCTGGCTTCAAATTCTAAAAATATGTTTTCTACTATGTCGAAGTGTCAGTTCTCCACTGAAGTTTGATTTACACTTGAGAATGAGTTTTTAATTGACTCTAAAGCCAGAGCCTTACATTTAAAGAATCTGCTTCAATCAACTCAAAAAGGAAATCTCAGTGTCAGTGAGTTTGTTAAAAAGATTAAAGGAATTGCTGAAAATTTATCTACAGGTGGTCAAGTGATTACTGATGAAAAGCTCCTTCAGTATGTGTTGGATGGATTAGGTCCAGAGTTTGATGCTGTGGTTGTCAACCTAACCTCCGGAATCGAATCCAAATTTGATTCTATCACCTTACAGGAAGCTCAGCTTCTACTCCAGAAATATGAAATGAGGCTTAAAAAATTTAACTCTGTAGATTTTCACGGAGGCTCAGTTAACATAGCCTCTCTCAATAATGCACAAAGTCAGTCTTCTTTGACTACCGCAAACAAGATGCCGACAGCATCTGTTGGATTGACTAATATGCCACTTCCTTTCTTTGCTTCATTGTCGAGCACTCAGTTTTATCCTATGCATGCTGGTTCACCCATTTATCAAGGTAGTCAGGTCTATTCATCAGATATTGCTTCTACACATGGTCAGCATGTTCCCTATCCTTTCAAATCTTTAGGATATAACTCTAGTGGTAGAGGCAGAGGAAGATTTAGTGGTCAAGGGAGGCCGATCTACCAGGTTTGCAATAAGGTTGGTCATACGGCTATACAATGCTACCATCAGTACAATTCTACTTACAATGGGACTCCACCACAGTTTGGAATTTCCCCACAATATGGTATGTCCAACCTTGTTAACCCTGACCCTGGATACAACAGTCGTCCAACTTCACAGCAGCGCCATTTTGTTCCACAGCAACCTCTTATTCACACTACCAATTCTTATGGTATACAATCACAACCTAGATATAACTCTTATGGATCACACTCTCAATCAGCCAACACTACTGATCAACAGTATTATGATGACTCACAAAAAAGGCCTCATTTCACTTATTCTCAGCAAGGGTTTCATGTTCCCAGCCAACAACTTCAAAATCTACCTCATACACCAAATCAAGCTTACTTTGCGTCCAACCATGTTCCATCCTCTAGTCAGTATTGTGGTGCACAAGTAACACCCATTTCCAATGCTCTTGATGATCCAGCCTAGTACATGGATTTTGGAGCAATTGACCATGTAACCTCTAATCCCAATTAGTTAACTGTAAGCAGAAATTATGATAGAGTTGAGCAACTACAAGTTGGCAGCAGTGAGTCCTTACACATTACCCATATTGGTTCTGCTTTCCTGCCCAATACTTTACATTCTAAGTGTTTACATCTAAAAAATGTGTTGTGTGTTCCTAGGATTACTAAAAATCTTCTTAGCATATCTAAGTTCACTAAAGATAATCATGTTGTTGTTGAATTTGACTCGAATTGTTGTGTTGTTAAGGACAAGGCTACCAGGGCAATACTACTGTAGGGAGGACTTAAAGTTGGCTTATATCAATTACATATCCCATCTAAACTTCTTTCATCTCATTCATCTATTATGTGTGACAATTCTAGTCCTTGCTTGCCTCAGTTGTTTGTTACTTCAGTTAGTTAGTCTAGCCATAATAAATGTACTGAAAAAGATATGAGTTACTCCTGTCATACTAGGAATAAGATGGCAGGCTCTAAGTTTCACTCTAATAATTGTAATACTGTTATGAATACTTGTAATTCTTTTCCAGTTAATAAAACACAAAACTTGGATCTTTTGGATGATTTTACCTCCTCAATTTCTCCCACTGTTTTACATAATTCTAGTGACAATTTCTCTACTCCTGCATTGCATCATTTTAGCACTGATATTTCTCTTATCGCATCACATTTATGCACCAAAACACTCTCTAATGACAACACCGACATATCACACAGTTCACCTATTGTTTTTCAAGTTAATAATACCAAAACACATATGTTGTCTCTTTGGCATAATAGGTTAGGACATCCTCACTCTAGTGTGTTACACAAAATTTTGTCATCTATGGATAAACAATCTTGAGGATCAGTTTCTGCCTTACCTTTCTGTGATGCCTGTTGCTTAGGCAAGTTGCATAGAAATCACTTTCCCTTGTCTCAATCTAGAGCCACACATCCTCTTGAGTTAGTTCATAGTAATGTGTGGGGACCAACCCCACTAACCTCCTTAGAAGGATTCAAATACTATGTCCATTTTATTGATGATTACAGCCGATTTACTTGGCTGTTTCTCTTAAGGACAAAAGCTAAAGTCAATTTTGTTTTCATTAAGTTTCACTACCTGGTTGAGAGACAATTTAATTGTAAGCTTAAGTGTCTCCAATCCGACCAAGGTGGAGAATATAAGGGTCTACTGTCATACCTTACTACTGCTGGTATTCAATTTAGGCACTCTTGTGCTTATGTTCACCAATAAAAATGGAAGAAGTGAACGTAAACATACACACATAGCAGAAACTGGCCTCACTTTACTTGCTTATGCCTTTATGCCACTGCACTTATGGTGGTTTGCATTTGACACTGCAGTTTTCTTAATTAATAGAATGCTAACTTCTGTTTTAAACTTTATTTCACCTTATCAAGTGCTTTTCAATAGATCACCAGTGTATTCTGAACTTAAAACATTTGGCTACACTTGTTTTCCCTTTCTAAGAGATTTTAACAAACATAAACTCAGTTTTCATTCATCCAAATACACTTTTGTTGGGTATAGTTTAGTGCATAAAGGCTATAAATGTTTGACTTCTGAAGGCAAAACTTTTATCACTCCTAATGTTCAATTCAATGAATAAGAGTTTCCTTTTGCCACTAAATCTGATCAGTCTCACTCTACTATTACCTCACTTAATTCACCAGACACCACTTCTCCCTCTCCTAGTTTTTCTTATGTTTCTGTTCAGCTCCCACATGATATAATTGACAAAGTCCCTCCTGCAGTGGCTAGCTCTAATCCACGTCCCAATCCAACAGTTGGTAAGTTAGTTCCTACTTCAATCTCATCACTTCAATTTCCCTCTAATATTCCTTGCAGTTCTAATATTAATTATGTTTTTCCTTTATCCTCATCACATCATACTTCTGGTCCTATAGATGTCTCCACTACCTTTGGTCCAACTTCTTCTGATACAACTGTTACAGGTTCAGCTTCTACTACAATTAACACATCTTCATCCACCTATCCTCTTGAGATTGATTTCACCTGTTTTAAGAACAATTGTCCCACCAGTGAGTCACTACCCTTGCTTACTAATCAACCCAATTTAAAAAACTCCTCTCAGTCTCCTGGTTGCTCTCTGGTAGTAGATTTAACTCCATCACAATTTTCTGCTCATGTTTCATCTTCTTTACCCATGACCATCAATACACACCCAATGATCACTAGGTCTAAAGCATCTTCACAACCTCTTACTACACTCACTTGGTCTACCATCACCACTATACAACCTGGATCCTCAACAACAAATAAAGCCTCTACACAACCTTCCACTGCCCTTACATCATCCACACCTACTGACCAACCTGAAACCTTAATAGTAAGCACCATTACCACTACACCACATGAATCCTTAACAACAAATACAGTTCCTACATAACCTTCCATTGCCCTTACATTATCTACACCTATTGTCCAACTTGAACCCTTGACAGTAAGTGAAGCCCTTGCTAATAATGAATGGAAGTAGGCTATGCAAGTTGAGTTTAATGCCCTAATGAAAAATGAAACTTGGAGTCTTGTTCCTAAGACTGCCGATATGAATATAGTTGGCAACAAGTGGGTTTTCAGGACAAAATTTAATGCTGGTGGGTCACTTTCCAAATATAAGGCTAGGCTAGTTATTAAAGGTTTCCAACAAACACCTGGGTTGGATTATTTTGAAACCTTTAGCCTGGTCATTAAGCCTAGTACTATTAGAATCATCCTTACACTTTTTGTTTCCTCTGGATGGGACATTCAGCAAATTGACGTTAATAATGCCTTTCTTAATGGCCAATTGACTGAAACTGTTTATATGAGGCAGCCTAAAGGGTTTGAAGTTCCTTATCTTTCTTCATATGTGTGTAAACTAAATAAGGCTCTTTATGGCCTAAAACAAGCTCCAAGGGCATGGTTTGATAAACTCAAACAAGCATTGTTGGACAAAGGTTTCAAGAATTCAGTTTCAGATTCCAATTTATTCATCTTTAAGAGATAATGCTCAAGTTCTCTATGTCCTCATTTATGTGGACGATATTCTTATTACTGGTTCCAGCACTTCTTGTATCCTATAGTTGATTGAAACCTTAAATAGTGAGTTTGCATTGAAGACACTTGGTTCATTGACCTACTTTCTTGGTCTGGAGGCAACTAGAACACGTGAAGGAATTCACTTGAAGTAGACCAAATATGTTACTGATTTGCTTGTAAAAACTAAGATGCAAGATGCCCATTCCTGCTCCATTCCCATGACTGCTGGTACAAAGCTTTCATCCACAGATAATGAGTTGTTTAAAGACCCCAGTTTGTATGGAAGTACTATTGGAGCTCTTCAGTACTTAACCTTAATAAGGCCTGACATTAGCTTTACGGTCAACAAACAAAGTCAGTACCTTCAAGCCCTACTGAGCTACAATGGCAAGCTTGCAAGAGAGTTTTACGATATCTTAAAGGAACTCAATCTCATGGGCTTCAGTTCAGACCAGCAGCTTCACTTCATCTTGAATGCTATGCAGATGCTGACTGGGATCGTAATCTGGATGACAGGAGATCCACTAATGGCTACTGTGTATATCTCGGGCCTCATTTGATTCAGTGGAGCTCCCGAAAGCAACGAGTGGTTGCCTTGTCATCTACTAAAGCTGAATACAGAGCACTGGCACATACATCAACTGAATTGGCATGGCTGGAAAGTCTGTTTTCTGAATTGGGTGTAGCACTCAATTCTTGTCTAGTAATTTTGTGTGATAATGTTAGCGTTGGTGCCTTAGCTTCCAATCCTTTTTTTCATGCTCGGACAAATCATATTGAGATTTATACTCACTATATCCGAGATCAAGTTTTAGCAAAGAAAGTTGTTATACAGTATGTTCCCTTAAGACTGCAAATTGCTGATATGTTAACCAAGGCTCTCTCTATTACTCAATTTCAAGAATTGAAACAGAATCTTTGTGTTGTTGATACTCCACAGTCTAGTATTATGTAGTCTGCTGGGTGTTGAATGTGTTGAAAAATGGTGTTCTATAGTATTGAAAAAAAATGGTGCTTTGTAGTACTGAATTATGTTGATTTGAAATATGGTGGTTTGTAGTGCTGAAATATGGTGGTCTGTGGTGGAAATATGGTGTTCTGTAAAGTGTTCTGTAGTGCTGGAAAATTGTGTTGAGTTGAAGTGTGTATTGAAGTGGCTGTTGTGTGCTGAAAAATTGTGTTGAAGTATGCATTGAAGTGGTGTGTTGAAGTGTGATATGTAGTTAATGGTGTTCTGTAATTTGTAGTACAGGGTTCTGATGGTGTGTTAGTTTTTTTTTTTTTTTTTTTCATGCTGAAAAATTGTGTTGAAGTGTGCATTGAAGTGGTGTGTTGAAGTGTGATCTGTAGTTAATGGTGTTGCTGAAAAAATGTGTTGAGTTGAAGTGTGTATTGAAGTGGTTATTTTATGCTGAAAAATTGTATTGAAGTGTGCATTGAAGTGGTGTGTTGAAGTGTGATCTGTAGTTAATGGTGTTCTATAATTTGTAGTATTGGGTTCTGAAAAATTGTGTTGAAGTGTGCATTGAAGTGGTGTGTTGAAGTGTGATCTGTAATTAATGGTGTTCTGTAATTTGTAGTACTGGGTTCTGATGGTGTGCTAGTTTTTTTTTTTTTTTTTTTTATGCTGAAAAATTGTGTTGAAGTGTGCATTGAAGTGGTGTGTTGAAGTGGCTGTTCTACTGTAGCTAAGTACTCTGCTGATTGCTGCTGGAATTTGAAGAATTTTTTATGGTGTGTTGAAGTGGTTGTTCTACTGTAGCTAAGTACTCTGCTGACTGTTGCTGGAATTTGAAGAATTTTTCTGTTGCACTGCAACTAAGTAAGCTAAGTATTCTACTACTAGAATTTGAAGAAAACACTTTCAGCTAAGCTTTGTGTTGCTCTATTGCTGGATTTTTTTTTTTTTTTTTTTTTTGGTTGCCATATAGGAAATTCAATTCAGTAGTTTCTTAACTACAAAGTTCAGCAAAGGTTTACAGTTTGTTAGCCAGAAAGGGTCCTCACAAAAATGTAGTGAAGGACAGCAAGAGAAAAAGGATAGTCCAGTTTAAGGGGGAATGATAGCCCAAAATGTAAAAAGGACAAAATATGAAGATCCTTATTGTAATTACCAATACTGTGACAGCAGCTCCAAACTATGTCGTTTTGGGTTAGCTGATATTTGCTTTCACAGTTTCTTCTTTGTATAAATAACTAACTAAATGTTCTACTGTTTAGTTTTAGAAACCAGAAATTAAAAGTTTACGATCTTCAGAACTTTACTCTTTCAATTTTCTTTCATCGTTTCCACTCTGACGAGTTAATACTTTAATCATTTTGTTCTTGTGAGTCATCGTATGCAGTTGAGTTTGAATAGTTCTTGCGAGTAATTTCGCAAACTTATTGTTATGCTTATGAGTTGTTTAAAACACTTGAATATATGTTTGCTTTTGAGTTGTTTGAAATCTGCATGGTTTTATCACCTATTATAACGGGTTTGGAGAAAATTTTGAAATTCACCTCCTCCTCTTAGCGCTGTCTTGTGCCCTTTTTGTTTTACAATACAATTGGCTGAAAGCCTCGGGAGACCATAATATAGTTACATATTGTGATGGTTTAAGTATACTTTAAAAGGCGTACTTGAATTGGTTTTAGATCTTTTCTTAAAATACTTTTAGATTTTTTCTTAGTGCCTACTTGAATTGGTTTTAGGTCTTTTCTTAAAATGCTTTTAGATCTTTTTTTTACTCATTATTAATGGTGTCTTATTTTTCAATTATAGGTATGACCTCGAGAGACAGTTGCTCAAACACCCTTACATTGGATGACGTTGATGATTATGTTACATTAAGAATAGTCGATCTATGTAACATTTATGCAAGCACAGGTGATAAAGAACAAAGTGTGAGTAGCGCTAAAAGTTAAAGAGACGGTAGACTTTAAAGTTGGGGGCCAAGACTGAGAAAACGCGTTTTATAGCTTGATTATTGCCAATAGTCATAACCTTTAAGAAACGGAGATTAAGAAATTTGACACTTTCAACTCCACATAAATTATATAGTTGGCAGTCCATCACGTGTACATGCCAGAGCCGGTGTGTATATATGTGTGGACACTCACACTCACAGTTGTTTCATTCCTCTTCTCTTCAATTATTCCATCGCTTACTTCATCCGTAATCTTTCTACAAATATACACGATTTGACATTTTAAATTATTACTAAAATACAAACACCTTGACTGTGATTAAAAGCTATGTATTAACTCCAATTTTTTCACTTCAATTATGATTTCAATTATTATATCGTCAATATAATATTTAATATGATTTAACCTTATGGTGAATTTGGTTAAGGAAATGTTCTATTATTAGAAAGATGCGATGTTTGGGAAAAAAATTTATCACTAAAAATATAGGATTATTACTAAGATAGATTATCTTGAAGATTAATGGGAGAATGTTATACTGATATGTTTGGTTAGATTAGTAAGTATAAATAATCAATATATTTGGTGAACTACTCTCGGTGACTGTAGCATTACTCTTATTATTATTATTATTATTTAGAACATTATTTTTAACCCCCTATATTTGAAAATTTAGCTAAAACACCACAACAACAAAAGTTTAAAATTTAACAAATCTTGAACCTGGTTGTTCAAGATGGTCTTTATCAGGTGAGACACATTATTGAGGACATTCGTGATAGCGTGGTGTATATCAATTCATCGGAGAGTAGACTAAAGGTGTTTGCAGAGATTGTTCAGTAGCGGCGATTGTCATTTCGCAAGCTTATTCTTGATTGCAAATCACGGTGGAATTCAACATATGATATGTTAACAACGGCAATGAAATTTAGACATGTTTTTCCTTGTTTGAAGGAGAGGGATTTGAGTTATCATTATTGTCCCAAGGAGGAGGATTGTAACAAAGTTGAGAAAATTTGTTCAATTTTGAAGGTGTTTAGTGGTGCATCGAATCTCATATTGGGGAGTGATTATCCGACATCAAACTTGTTTCTAAAACAAGTTTATAGAATCAAAATTATGTTAGATAGTAAGAGTCAGGATGAAGATGAGTTTATACAGTCCATGATTTGGAAAATGAAAGAAAAGTTTGATAAATATTGGGGAGAATGTAATCTATTGATGGGTGTGGCTGCTATTTTGGACTCTAGACTGAAGATGAGGGTGATTCAATGGTCGTTCCCTAAGATGTATCCTAAGCATGAAGTGCGGGCAAATATTGATGTTGTTCAAGATGCCTTGTATGAGGTATATAGGGAGTATGTTGATGCCACTAAAGCATTGACTGCTACCCGCGCTTCTACATCTACAGGGGATGGAGTTGACGTTGTTAGTGAGGGGTCGGGGGCAGCGGTAGAGAGGGCGGAGGATTGGGATGATTTTAGTGAGTTTCTGGATGTGGTTGAGACAGTTGAGCCAACTAAATCAGAGTTAGACTGTTACTAAGATAGGGATGCCATAAATGTGTCGGGGACCCTGCGGCGTTTGATGCTTTGACGTGGTGGAAGGCAAATTCAACAAAATTCCATATATTGTCTACCATGGCTCGTGACATATTAGCCATTCCTATCACTATGGTTGCTTCATAGTCTGCTTTCAATGTCGGCAGTAGGGTTATTAACATGTACCAATCGTCGTTGTCTCCCGACAAGGTGGAGATGCTCTTATGTGGATGTGATTGGTGTAGGACTTTGAATGTGGTGAAGAAAGGATGCAAAGTAGGTTATGTACTTATATTGAATATTGTTTTTATTAAATTTAATTATTACTTTATATTCATACTAACTAAATTTCAATTACTCCTCCTTTGTCATTTTCAGGAAGAGCAGCAACTGTTGGAGATCAACCTTCCTATCCCGTAAGTTCATGGGATTTAGTGCATGGTTTGGCTGTGGTAAGAGGTATGCATTGGTAAAAGTTTGATTCATTTTGCTTTTGTTTCATGATTATACATATTTTTCTCTTGTCATAGTTACCTGAAAAAATACTTACTAAATTGAACATTTTATACAGCTAGGGGGAAATGGTGGTTTTGGTCAAAGACAGCCCTACTGCAAACTACTGGTGGATAGTTATTTTGATTGGTGGACTGTATTTTCATATCTTGGACTATTATTTGTATATATTCGAAATTGTTTTTTTTTATTTTGTAAAGTAATAGGCATTTTGTAAAGTCTGAAATTGTCATGGTTAATATGGTTGGAAATACTAACTGTCATGGTTAATACTAACTAAACTATTTTAACTCTCTCTCTCTGTTGTCTCTGTATCTTGAGTGGTGTTTGGTTTGCTTTTGTTCTCTCTCTGGAGTGAAACTTTGTGTATTTGGATTGTATTTGCTGGATTGTGACTCACCAGTTTGTTCTTTCATCGTGGGATTGTGACTCACCAATTTGTTCTTTCATTGTTGGATTGTGATATACATTTTGTCTGTGTATTTGGATTGTGACTCACCAGTTTATTCTTTCATTGGTGGGTGTGTTGTCTGTGTATTTGGATTGTGTTTGCTAGGGTCCCATCATGTTCCTTGTTTTGTTACCCTATCTTTTCAGTCTCATGAGCTTCTTGTTGTAGTGTTGCTTTATTTGAAATTAATTCTATACATTGAACTAAACAACCTGTTGTAGTTTTGCTTTACTTGAAATTAATGCATCTTTGTGCGTCTTTCTTTAGTGGAATCTAGAAGACCAAACAATACAGAAACAAACATTGGATGTAAAGAAGGAAGGTTGTATGCAGGAAGGCAGCAGGCTGTAGAAAAAGGGAAAATGGCTCGGTCAAACCTGGGTTTGATCGAGCCTTAACGAGCTCAAGCTTGATAAGTCAAAAACTCGACTCGGCTCAGCTCGTTTATAGTCCTACCACCCACCCAACCAATTGTTGGCAGCCAGCCACCACTGTCGGATGTTAGCTGATAGTCGTCGGAATGGTGCACAACCGGCTGGATCTGGCGGGTGTACCGATATGACATTTTCTGACCAGATCCATCGTGTGTTTTGCCGGAAACAATCAGATCGACGGCCAAAATATAGTCGTCATCAATAGTCAGATAAATCTAGCCGTTGTTGATGGCCAAGATATGGATGTCATCAACAGTCATATTATGCCAGATCCATGGTGGACTTGATCGAAAATAGCTATTTTCGACCTGATCCATGGTAGACCTAGCCGAAAATGGCCTACTTGGTGCATGATCAGCCAGATCCAATCGATTGTATGGCATTCTGACGACGGCTAGTGGCCGACAATGGTTGCTGGTGGCTAACAATGGCTTGGGTGGGTAAGGTTTTTTTTTTTTTTTTTTTGTTAATTTATAAATTTTTATTGTAAAAGGTAATTGCTAAATGTTTTGAGTTGAATAAAATATGATTAGATTTTGAATTAAATAGTCAATATTAAAAAAATACGTTTTTACTATTTAGATTATGATAAGATAATAGAATAACATATAGACTTTTAAAAAGTGCACCAATTAGAGGATATATTTTCAGCAAAATGGAAAACAATCGAGAAATTGGATAGAGTAGTGAGAGAGAGAGAGAGAGATACACACACATATCAGGTTTTGGATGTTACATCTCAACCATCTTGTCCATTAATGCCATGGACTATCTTAGGTTGGGTTGTTCTTATTAGCATCTGAACAACGCTTCCAATTGGACAAATCTTATCTTATCTTTCTGTTTATCGGAAAAGGAAAGGGATGTATGGGATTTTTATTTCAGACCTCCCAATCGTTTCATTGTTCTCCCTTTCAAAATCTAGGAATGCCCAAACATCAATAATGCTGTCCTGACTCATACACGTGGCCAACATCCATTGCACTCTACATATAGCTTACAGAACAAAATCAGGAACTGTCTTATCATTTAAGATGGATAAATCTTTAAATTTTTGAGTTTCTTATTTACTTTAGTGGGCAATCAACAACTTTGTAATCTGTATTAGAAAAGCCTTTTCTGTCTGTAAATTATAAATAGGGAAATGATACACATACAATATTTTCTCATAAATTTTCTCTTATATTCTGATATGATAATTCATAATTAATCAATCCGTAATAAGTCTTATCTAATAAATGATTATTGATCAATTATAAATTATTATATCAGAGTTGTAAGAAAAAAATTTATAAAAAGAGATTATAAATATATCATTACTCAAATAAATAATACACCTCATACTTTCTCTGTACTCAAAATCATACTTATAAAGCCCAAACATTTTATCTATTTATAAAAGATTATTTGAAAACAAAGAATTGTTTTTCTGCTACAGTATTAATTTGCTGTCAACTTATGCTTTTCCCATGTGCTGTGGTTGAGAAAAAAAAGGTTAAACATTATTGATGAAACTGACCAAGTTATCCGCTTGGTCATTTTTCTGCTTTTCCCATGTGCGTTGATACTGTACAGAGTTCTTTGGATCATATAATATTTTATTATAGAGATATATTATATTAACGAAAAGAAAAATCACTTTAAAAAAAACTGAGAATGTTTAGAAAATGTGTTTGGTTGGTTCGAATAAATTGGTGAATAATATATTTGGTTAGGAGGATAAATTGGTATGTATGTTATATAGTTTACTAAATTGCCCTCTATTTTAGATATTAATATAATAGTATTTTTTATTATTTTTTTTTTTGAATCATTCTTTTAATCCCTTACATTTGAAATTTTGTTAAAACACCCCAGTCATATAAAACTTTAAATTATAGCAAAATCACCCCCACCCACCCTAAGTCACTGCCGGCAGTTAGCCACCACCACCGGCCGCCACTGACAATCAATGGAATGGCGCACGACTGGCCATATATGACTGGCCGTGCACCGGCAAAGCTGAAAATGGTCGTGGATCACAAATCTATGGTTGAAAAACGGCCAGATCTATGGCCATTTCATAACCATAGGAGCACCAAATCTGGTCAAAAAAGGTCTTACCGGCATACAACCGGCCATATCCCGCCAATCGTGTACTATTACAACGACTGACGCCAGTGGCCGACGGTGGTGAGTCACGACTTGCGGTGGCCTTGGATGGCTAAATGTATTTTGTTAACTTTTAAACTTTTTCGTGATTGTGGTGTTTTAGCTAATTTCTCAAATGTAGGGGGTTGGATAATTGTTATTTGGTAAATATTTGAAAGCAATTATGTCCGAAATTGTTTTTAATTAAGGGCAAAATAGGTAGAAAAATCATATTATCCCGGTAATATTTTAATAACATCTCTTAGTAAAGTAATCAGATTATCCCCCATATTACCAACAGTAACCATTATTTGCAATAAAAGATTCTCATAATATTTTATTTATTACAAATTAAACACAAGAATCTTGTAAAATAAATGATCCAAACGGCCCACAATGTTAAGAGTATTTAGGGCTTGGTCATTTTTCTGATTATTTTCCAATCTTCCATTATTTTCCCCGTAAATATAGAAAACATGGGAAAAGCAGAAAAATAACCAAGCCGTAATGAAGCCACAATTTTTTGTGCCCGTCGGACAAGTCAGTTTCTCGTTTATAACTCCAGTACTCCACTATAGCATGTCTTTCGTTATGATGTTTTGCTTTTCTCACCTCATTAATTAGTTTCTTAATTATTCACCAAATGGTGCAATTAAGTTTAGTTAATAATATGTTTGAATTTATTTATCTTTTGTAGTTGTATTAGGCCTGCAAACTAATCGAACACGAACGTTCGAAACTCATTTGATAATCATAAATGGGTGTTTGAAATTGTGTTCGAACCCGAATGAACATAGAATGGTTGTACGATTTCGTTCGATTAACCAAACGAGCAGTTCATGATCGTTCGATTAACTCGTTTAAATAATTTATAAATATTTATTCGATTAACTCGTTCGAATAATTTGTAAATATTTGTTCGATTAACTCGTTCAAATAACTTGTAAATATCTGTTCGAATAACTCGTTTGAATAACTTATATATAATGTATAATTGTGTATATACAAAATTATTATCATATATATATTAATCATAGATTAAATATGTTTAATATGTTATTAAATTACCAAAATTATAGGTTATCATATATATATTATTATTACATAAATTATCATAAATATTTTGAATGTCTACATATATTTTTTGTATCAACACCCATAAATTCATAAAAGTATAAGGGTTTATTGTAATATATGATCAAATACATATGTGTGATTAATTTGTTATATATATATTATCATTCCATACTTATTTAAAATTTTAAATGTCTATATAATATATATATATATATATTATATATATATATTATATATTATATATATATATATATATATATATTATCCAACACTAATAAATTCATAGTGGAATGAAGGTATATTGTAATATATGATCAATATATATGTGTGATTAATTTGTTATATACATAATGTGTAATTGGATATATACAAAATTATTATTATACATATATTAATCAT